CCCCCTGCAACCCCGGCTATGCCACCCGCAACGGCAGCGCCTGCCTGCCCTGCCCCCTCGGCTCCTACTCCAAGGGCTCCGGTAAGGCCCTCCCTGTCATTGTCCCCAAGGGGTGACCGAGGCACCGGGAGCTCCCAAGGGAGGTGGGTGCCCCCCCAGCGCAGGGTTGTCCCCTCCTGGCCCTTCAGCCCTGGTGAGGACATCCTCTTTGTTGTCCCCAGGGGGTGACTGAGACACCCAGAACTCCCAAGGGAGGTGGGTGCCCCCCCAGTGCAGGGCTGTCCCCTCCTGGCCCTTCAGCCCTGGTTAAGGATGTCCCCTTCATTGTCCCCAAAAGGTGACTGGGGCACCCGGAGCTCCCAAGGGAGGCGGGTGCCACCCTGGTGCAGGGCTGTCCCCTCCTGGCCCTATGGCCCCAGTAAGCACGTCCCTGTCATTGTCCCCAAGGGGTGACCGAGGCACCTGGAGCTCCCAAGGGAGGTGGGTGCCACCCCGGTGCAGGGCTGTCCCCTCCTGTCCCCAGGCTGCCTCAGCTGCCCGGAAGGCACCGAGCCGGTGCTGGGGCTGGAGTACAAGTGGTGGAACGTGCTGCCCCCCCACATGGAGACCACCGTCCTCAGTGGCATCAACTTGGAGTACAAGGGGATGGCAGGTGGGGCTGGGACACTGTCTCCTCACTGTCCCCTCCCAAGGTGACAGCTGGGGGCCCCGCTGAGCTGTCCCCATGTCCCCCATGCAGGCTGGGAAGTGGCCGGGGACTACATCTACACGGCAGCAGGAGCCTCTGACAACGACTTCATGATCCTCACGCTGGTGGTCCCCGGCTTCAGGTGAGTCAGGGGTCCCCAGGTGTCAGGGACAAGGCCATGGGACAGTCTGGCAGTGTCCCCACACTGTCCCCAGCCCCCCGAGCCCAGTGCCAGAGGACACAGAGAGCAAGGAGGTGGCCAGGATCACCTTCATCTTCGAGACCATCTGCAGCGTCAGCTGTGAGCTCTACTTCATGGTGGTGAGTGGGGGGGACGGGGACACTGAGGGGACACCCCGGGTTTGAGGGGGGGGTGGTCCCACCATCCCCGTGTCCCCCTCAGGGTGTCAAATCCCGCACCAACACCCCTGTGGAGACGTGGACAGGTCCCCAGGGGAAGCAGTCCTACACCTACGTGGTGCAGAAAAACGCCACCACCAGCTTCACGTGGGCCTTCCAGCGCACGCCCTACCGCGAGGAGGTGAGGGGACAGGGGGGTGACACCCCGCTGCCGGAGGGACAGGGGTCAGGGGGAGACGATAGTGACGGGTTCCTTGTGCCAGGGCCGGCGTTACACCAACGACATGGCCAAGCTGTACTCGGTGAATGTCACCAACGTGCTGGGGGGGGGGGCCTCCTTCTGCCGGCGCTGCGTCCCCGAGCCGGCCGGGGCCACTGCCCCCT